TAACCAAACACTTTGAACTCTAGGTCATGAAGTGGTGCTTAAATTTTTGAAATGCCTTTTTTTTGTTTACTCTCATTTGTAGGTCGCAGTCAGGTCCTAATGGGTGTAGTCCCCAAAGACACACCATTCCTGTCTAATCAGAGCTGCAAATCGGTGTGCCCTTTAGCTATTGCTAATTGTAAGGAAGACAGGTATGTTGTATTTAAATTTGATTCATTAGTCAAATAGTTATTTGCTTCCAAAATAACTAGTTTTGTTAGTGAAAATTTTTATTGTACCGTTTTGACTGTGTAATTTTTGGTTGTCGACCAGTTACAAGTGCAAGCTGAAATAATTTGTAGATTTACAACAAATGTATTATATGAGGCCTTTAGAAAGGCCCCAGTAAACGATCATTTTTGAAAATTTTACCGCAAAGGTTTTAATTTATTAGTGGGCCACTCAAACCCGACCTTATGTTTTCTAGTCTTAAGAACTATCTGCTGCAGACTAGACTAGCAGTATGCGTATTTCATTTTCCTTCTTTTTTTTCATTTTAGTAATAACTTCAGTTTACTGGTAACTTTACTAAAATTGATTATTATTAGGAAAAAAACCTAAAAAAGCTGATTGTTATAATGTCAACAAACAAAAGGATGCACTAAAGAAGAATGGAATCACAGTGGATGGAGTGCATTATGCTGTGAGATTTAAAGGTAAGTTTCACATAATAATTAATAAGGTATTTTTTAGTACCATAATTTTCAATCCAAATACCTGCATGTACGTTGACCTCTTTTTAAAAATCTATATCTACAGTTATACTTGACCTGAAGGCCCTCAATCTTTTGCTGGAACAAATAGGGAAAGCGAACTTTCAGCTTGGGAAACGAGGAACTGAAGTAGAGTGTTGCTTTATCTGCAAAGCATTGAGGGTATTTGTATATATTCAAAATCTCTGAGTCAAAAAATTCTACTATGCAGGATTTGACCTTACCAATGACCAACTTACCAATACATGCCAGTACTATTAGATTTTCAGTTTTGCTGGGTAAAATTTGTTAGTAAAAACTAGCTACAGGGCTGGTGAATAATGGCTATTTTTATTGTTGCTTTATTAGAAATGTAATTGCAATCTTGGTCTGCATACAGTTTGTTTGGAACACTTTAGCATGTCCAAGGCCAATTATATTGGAGGTTAATTTACTTGTTGAGGCATGTAGCCCGTGATTATTCATGAATTTCAGCATTTGTAGTTGTCATTTTGAATCCAAAGTAACTTCTAATTATAAAAGGCATTCAAAACAAGGTTATCTCAATACAGTTAACCTCTATTTAAAAAATTAAATTCCCTGGTATAGTGAGTTAATCTCTTCATCCCAGCATTTATAGCTTAATTAAAGTATGTTTTCTATAAAAGACTAACTTTTTATATAGACCTTATTTTAGCAATAATATTTTGTGAATTAAGCCTTGCCTTTTGTAAAAGGGGAAGTTCCACTGCATGGAAAAGAAAACAAAAAGCTTTTTTTGGACAAACATGGTGTTTAATGTCCCTGTCTATAAAATGTTGGCAATTATCCTTGCCTTGTTTTCCTAGAGCACACATTATTTTCCCATAATAATATATCACAGTCTTCCTTTACTGTAGGTGTGTCAATATTGTAGGGGCACTGTCATAAAAGACTGAAAACCTGTCGAGTAAAATACTTGAGTTTGAAATCTATAAAACTGTTAAGTACCAGTCTTCAGGGGAGATATCCCCTACAACTAACAAAATAATGAATCTTCTTTTTTCTTGTTTCAAAGGCATCCGTGATGACTTAGAGTTCCTTTTTGAAGAGGATTTATCGTCTATTAATCTCTGCGCCCTTCACTGTGAACTTAGAAATACTGAACAGCTGTTGTCATTGTTGGTTTTTTTTTGTACAAAGTGGGTTCACTTGATGAATGTAATGCCGAATTGGCAAATTATGGCCCTGAGAATTTTAGCAGCAGAATAACAGTGAAGATGAAAGAGGGCCAAGAAACTGCTGTTGAAAAGCACAACATTCAGGTGTCTTCATTTTCAGGTACCTTCTATATTGTTTCATTTTTATCATGATTGCTTTAATTCACTTTATCCATTTCAGGGCTTTTTTTTCTGTGCTGTAGCAGCTGCATGAGTTTTATTTGTACAATACCTTGATCCTTAATATGAAAACTGTAACACTGGTTTGTAAGATGTCATTAAGTTGTGAATTTAAATCCCGTTTGTTTCTTTCTGTACTATTTTTCCTGAAGGTTCTACTGAATGTGAGTTCCTCACAAACATTGAAACAATTGTCAGGAACTCCTTACCTCATGACAAATTGAAGTCATACATTTTGCTGATCCAGAAAGTGCTAAAGAGGCCCTCCTTAATAAAGTCGGGTGTTACTCAAACGAAGACCCAAAAATGAAGACCTAAGACCTAAGACCCCATGAACTAAAACGAAGACCCCATGGACTAAAACAAAGACCCCTTTGACTAAAACGAAGACCCCATAGACTAAAACAAAAAACGACTGATGCTAACCGCTGAGGGCATTGCCCGCTCCCGTACTTTGTTACAGCGATTTGGGAATGTTGTGGAATTTCCTCTGCAGTATTTAGTTTTGATAATCAAGTCTATCACTTACCTTTCCTTCAGGTTTCTTTTAAAATATTTTGCATGTTTTAAACCACTTTGGAAGTGTTTACAGTGATGAAGGGTCATCTAGTGTGTTGTATGGTTATAATGTGCCCTCGGTGAAGAGGATTGGCGTGACAAGCCTAAAGGATGGGAGGCCTGACACCCGAGAGATACTAATGACCGAGTTACGAGTTGAGTTGAGTTTGAGTTGAGTTTGAGTTGAGTTTGAGTTGAGTTTGAGTTAAGTCTGAGTTAAGTTTGAGTTACCGTTGCTTTCATTTTTGTTAACTTAAAAGTGGTTAATGGAAGATCCAGATCGTTTTTACACAAAATTGACCGACTGTTCGTTTTTTCACGAATGAAAAAGTGTTTAATAATTTTACATTCCCAAACGTGAAGCGTTGAATTGTCCTCATTTTGTTGGCCTTGACGGTCAAGATGACCGGTCACATTCGATGATATTGAAATGAACTAAAGTTTTCTATGCTGTTGTTTACTACCAGTATACACCTGGCTATATTGGGAACTTTGATCTAAAAAAATGAAGTAGAAGTGAACTGAATTAAACTGTTGTTTACTTACAATTCACGAATTGAAACAGAAATCGGCGCGGGGTTCGCGAACTTCCGGTCTCAAATTTAACAAAACCCGTAAGTCCTGAATTTATGTATTTCTTTCCAGCAGATAAAGGATGAATTTTTAAGCCTGTGTAGCGAGACATTTTAGGGTCTTTTAGTTATTTATAGCATTGCGAATGAAGTGACTGCATTTGTATTAAAGGTGTCGCTTGATATTGTTTTTGTCGGTATGCAAAGTTATTACGGTCCGACAAAACTAAAGCAATCCGTGCACGCTGTGTTTTTTTCTCTTCGTATTTCTTTTCTGTCATTAACTTAAAGAATAATAGAATTAATGACAATTCCATTCAACCTCCCCGTTTGAGAGGCAGATATATATGCGTAACAACGTACGTTTCGAATCAAAGGTTAAAGTATCGCTTTAGTCGCTGCGTATGTAAATTAACCTGAACTCACTGGAGACAAAAAAACTTGCGATATCTCGGTTAAATTCTTGTAAATAAATACTGGCATAAGAGCCAGCCCGTGAATAAGAAATGCTAACGTACGCAATATTGCGGTAAGCTTATGTTTTCACAATGACATGGTCAACAGTTTTTTTAAAATTATTTACAGAAAAATCAAAATACGGTAGATCACTTTCATAATGTTCAGTCTGAATTCTTGAACACAAAAGTGCTTGTTTTTACGCTCCGAAGGCTTTCCGAGGAAACACGAATGCAAAAGTATATGGTAATTTTGCTAATTTTAATCCACGGACTTTTGTCAACACTTCATGCAAAAACAACAATGCGTTGCAAAACAGTGTATTTTACCAGACAGCGTTTTGCACATGCCATTATTGATGCAGAAACATTCGGGGCCTCTTCGTGAGTATTTCGCGCATTTTCGGTATCAGCCGTCGCACTTCGTGCATACTCTTTTCATAAATGCATACTGAAGAGCGGAACCTTTCCCCACGACCTGAAAGAGACAGGCGCCTGCCTTCAAATGTTTTTGGGCTTGTCACGCACTCCTTTTTCCGACGGCGTGATGGGCGAAAAACGAACGTTTATTTTTTTTTTTTTCCTTTAAGTTAATGTTTTGAAATATCATTCGAACTAAAGAGAGTATATTCCAACAACAAAGGAAACTCAAATGAAAAAACAACAACACAAACGGGATTTCTATGTCCTGTCGCTCTTAGGTCCTTACATTTCTTTACATTATCTCCTCGTCAATCAATTTCTGATATTCATCGGGAGATATGTTGATATTCTCGTCTAGTGCGACAGCCATCGGAGGAACAGTCAAATTGCTTTGTCTTGGTTGCGTGCTTATGCAATCTTTTTTGGGGCAAAATCGAAAATTACGTAGTACCGCGAAGCGATTTCCATCCGCGGTTGCATTTGGTGTGACATACAGCCCCTCGACTGTAATGCAAATGTCTCCATCTGAGAAATGAGTCTCGCAGCCTGGTTTAGCACACCTTGGTTTTGGGCCAGGTTGTGATTTAAACCGCTGTACTTGCCAAACTTGCTTCCTTTTTGCAGCGTGGTGTGCGTTAAAAATGGCTACATTTGTTGGTTTAGTCACTACGGGAGATTTCAAATCCAGCTTACTAAATAAGTCGTCCAATTCATTTTTTGTCAATGCTTTCTGATAGAGACGATAGTCTTCATCTTGAACTTTAAAGAAGTTCAAAAGCACGAAAAGAACATGTTTACAAATATTAGCACTATTCGCATACGGACAATTACATGTTGGATGCTCAGAAATCTTGACCTCATATGTGTTTAGTCCCGATCTGATTACGAATTGCCTCTCGTTTCTTCCAAGCTCGTTAGAGTCAACAAGCAAGAATGTTTCCTTCTTGGCGAGCTCAAGGAGCGCTGGAACGCCTTACTGGCACTTTTTCGGAAACGGCCGTCACGTCTATCCTCACGTGTCCCAGCTTTGGGGGCTGAATGATGCGAATCGTCCTCAGAAGACGAAGATGCTAAGTTACTTCCATCGCTAAAAACACTGACTTGACGTTTTCGTTTTCGTGTCGCTCTATGGGAGCAGTTAGCATCTACAGATGAAGCTCTAGAAGACTCTGCTTGTACATATAAGGAATTGTCGACAACACCTGCTGAAATTTCTTCTCCAAAGGCTTTCGCTCTTGTCATTTGCTGGAAATAGTTGGCTTTGAGTCTGTCACTTTGGCTCCGATGTTTTCCTCCTTTATAAGTTCCATAACCGTATGATTGAAGTTTCTTTGAGAGCATGATTGCTTCTGCCACATCCTCCTCTGCAGCCATGGCAAGGGTTAGCCTGTAAGATCCTTTTTTGGCCCACTGCGAGTGACCAACTTCAGCCAAATTGACGTTTGGGGTAAGTGGTGCACCACATTTGAACGCCTTAAATATATGGGTCCTTCTTTTATGCCACCATTTGAACCAGCTAATGATATGACCTCGCTTTGCAGGCTTTTCATCTGAAAATGCTACGAGTTCTTTCCTGGCTTGATCGTAACGATAAGGCGTTGGTGCTTCAAAAATGTTCCTAGCGAGAGTCTTGAACGTATGCTTTGACTTATCACTCCAGTTCGTATGTATCTGCCTGTTGCAACACTGAAAAAAGTGAAATTCACAAGACACACACTGTTCTAAGGATTTACTGCCAAATACTTTTTCGATGGCATCCCAGTTTCCTCCTGCTTCATCGAACATCCATCCCGCTGGATTAAAGATATATTCATCGTCCCCTGTAAAATCTCGTAGAACCTCAAAAAAAAAAACAACGTCAAATGAATTACAATTAATAATATTGCAGTGCACATCCATCGCTGATTATACTTGTGGATTCAAAGGCCCAGTATCACCCATTCGGCTTTGCGGTCCTTTGATTTTGTTTTCAAATGACGAGCTCGCTCGTGATTGGCTCTTTCGGGAATTTTCGCCTGCGTTAAAGTCAATCGCAGAGGCATTGGGCGCGCAATGCATTTTGGGTGATACAGGGCCTTTAACCCAAAAAATGACGTATTCAATATCTTTGAATAAGTTGTCAAATTAAATGATGTGTTTCTTTTATATGTCTGAACGATGTAAAACATAATAAAATTATTAATAATGCGTCCAGATAAATGCAAAATGCGTAAAATAGGCAAACTTAACGTAACATTGCTATTGAATTTCCTTTTGTACCCTGCGAGCAGTGGACTCTTGTCGTCCGGCGTAGCTCGGCGTAGAAGAATCCAGGGTACTCCGATCCTTTTGTGGACCATTTCGTGAGCGCAACGAGCGTCATCTTTGAAACTGTTTTAAACTTTTCCCGCCAATTTTATGCGCGCGGTTTACCACTCAATCTTTTTTTTACTTTTTTTTCCTGTTAATTGCCTGCACAGGCGATTTGTATACGTAAGGCCTCCAATCACCTGTGTAAACCACCGATTTGCTTGCGATTTTAATGGGATGAAAGCAGAGTGCATGCATGTTGTATGCAGAACACAGGCAATTTGAACCTGAAAACTTTGCAGGCGATTAAAATTGCCGCAAAGTTCTTCAGAATCACTAAGAGTAAAACAAAATGGGGATTAAGACCATAATACTGTACAGGTAGTCGAGCACGGAATTTTACCAGAGCAGTTGAAAGCATTCTTCCATCAAGCCTTTAAAACTCCATAAAATTACATAGATTTCCAGTGGCGGATCTAGGGGAGCCCCCCACGCCCCGAGGACGTCTGCGTCAGCCACTGATTTGTAACAGAACAACAAATCACAAGTAGAAATTAATGGAACACTGGGACACTGCCTAGCTAACAAAAACAAGATCAAAGTTACCTCATTAAGATTGTTCCAAAACGTCTGTATTACGAGACTGGACTCGGCCTCACACTCCATTGTAGCTAAGTTAACAAGCTCATTTAAAGTTGGATGCCACACCCAAAGGGTCAGTGTTTTGAAGCCTTGGCATCGACTGTGCACGGCATCAAGGAAACAGAACTCTTTGGATAGAGGATGCTCACTTTGATCTTTGTCCATTTGAACACATATTTCAGCTTTTTCTCTGCTCGTTTTAAAGACAAGGCTTTGTTGGCCATTATTGAAGTGACGATTATTAATTTTCCAGACTAAGTACTGATCTTTCTCGTCTGTTTTCTTCTTTATTTCTGCAACAGCATCAAAGTTGTGCCCATGGGGATGCATGCTATTTGCTACTTTAGACTTTATGTTCTGCACCTTTTTCTTGTCTAGCATTGCTTCGGCAACATCCTCCACTTCCGACCACGGTCTGCCTTCTCTGATCATGTTTGTTAGCTTGGCAGTTGGAACTGCAGAGGGCTTAACCATTGAATGTGTTTTGAAAAACTGTTCAATGTCACTGTCTGCGTGTAGCTTGGGCTTAGGAATAGCTGTGCAAGTGTGATTCCCAATATGGTAAATGGTTGCAATGTTAGAACCTTCTGGATATTCACTGACCTTCCTAGCTGAGCAAGAAATGTATTCACCTTTGAAGTTGCAAGATCTGCAAAGTTCGTTTCCTCCAGATCTAACGAACTGGACACTGTTTGCTCTTCCAAATTGTTTTTTGTAGGGACAGTTCTTGTTCGTGCAAAGGTAAGAACCCCTACAAGATTGAACATTTCTCTTTCCACGGAACCCCTTTCGACTTGAGGTGACCCACGGTTTCCAGGGACGACCATCGTGTATGTTACGCCCATCTTTGTGAAACCGAACTTGGAAAACCTTCGAACCATCTATATCATAGGGTAACTCGTTAACCACTTCAACATCAACTCCAAACCATAAAGATGGATCCAGCTTGAGTCTCTTTCTGTAGTGATCAAACGACAAGAAATTAAAAATACAGCGATACTACAAACTAAACTTTAGCTAGGTACTTTTCATTAGATACGTGATTTTAACATTAGTATGATGAAGACGATTTTTGTCGATATTCAGTATTTGTATTTTTCGATCATGCAAAGTACTTAAAAAATGTTAAAAATAAATTCTGAACAAGACTATAACACTTGTTATTATTGCCTTTATATCTGATATTAAGGTTGGAAAGGTTACCTTTTTTGTGCTCAGAGTGAGGTGGCAGTGAAGTTTCGTTCAAACGCTTAGGGACGTTATCGTTGACGGAATCATCATCCTCTGAGCTACTCTCTTTCGATGTTCGTTCCTCGTAATAAGTCTAAGGCACAAAAATAGATATGTTTATTTTAAAGTTATCTGATAACTGCAACATTTTCCTAAGATGGTGAAATCGTTTTCAACACTAATGAAAGGTTTGTGCAGTCCAATTACGCAGACATGGTAAATAAAAAATCATTTTAGCGGGTATTAATGTCTATGGAGTTCCCATGTTCCAACTACTTTGAAAAACCAACTCGCGAATACTGCGGGAAGAGAACGCGTCTGCGTTTCTCTGCGATTAATTGTGCTTTGGCTACATGTTTTGGCAGTGTATGCACCTAAAACTGACTGATTTCCCAAGTTGTCGATGATTTCCGAAAATGATTCGAAGATGTTTCGACTACTGACCAACACCTCATATTAGAAATACTGCAGGTTCCTATATGTATGTTCAGTTATAACATGCGTTCAGGCGCTCTTTTTTTCGAAGCAAACGTCAGCCGAGCGCGGGAATCACACGCCCTCAGCCGACTTTGGCTTCAAGACCACCTCATCGTAGGTTATATATATTGCCCTCGGTGGAAAATTACGTGATTAGCATTTTAAAAAACGCATGTAACTTAACCGTTTTCGCACAAAAGTCGAATCTGAAAGATCAGACGAACTTTCGTCAAGGTTAAGGGATCGACTATTTACCAAGTTAAGAGTTGAGTTGAGTTTGAGTTGAGTTTGAGTTAAGTTTGAGTTAAGTTGTAGTTACCGTTTTTACTTAAAATGTCGTTAATACTATCCACACGACATAAAATGTGCGGATTATTTATATAAAAATTATTATTTTTGAGGTGGTATTTTAGTTTTTAATACCCGATCGAGTTGGGTCAACCAAATCTGTGAGCCACGCGAGCCACGGTGCGAGTCATGCGAGCCATGCCTGTGAGCCATTTTTGAGTAATTCCGTTTTTCTTAAATTGGTCGGGGAGGTCGTCGATTATTCCACCAGCAAACATCCCTGGAGTTTTACCTGCGACTTGCCTAGCCGCCATCTTGTAAACGGAGTTACCTCGCTCCCAGGTTCCTCTCTCTCTGGCGCGACGCGAAGCAGTGTTCCTCGTGATGGCTCAATTTCGGCTCAATACGGAGATCCAACTAGCCGTCAATATAGTGCAGTATTGCCGTCTCAAAACAAAAATTCTTGCTATACGCGTTATCAGGTTTTTGTTTTGCAAAAAGTTTCGAAAAAACCCGACTTTTCACGCCATAAATTACTCATTGAAACATAAAAAATTCGAAAGAACATCTTTCTGAAGTTTTTCAAAGAAACATGCGTCGAACAAAATGAGTAAATAACGCAAGTTTGCCAAGTTTTTAGCGAAAACTTTTTTTCAAAATTATGATGGCGTGATTAGCCCGCGCATAGCTCAGCTCGATGTAAACAAACCGTTCAAACCAACAAAAAGAGATTTAGAACTTATCGTATCGTTCACTTTTGATAGAAAGGATCGCTTCATTGAATACAGTGTTGCTTTGTCTACCAAACTTGACAAAGTAATCAACATTTTAGTCCTTACTTTGAATATTTTTTTGAAGTTTTTGTTTTCTACGGGAGGAACCCATTAAATTGCCGCGGGAAATTTTCAACCAATCACAGACTGACTTTAAGTTGAAGTCATCATTTTTTATTCTGAGAGAATGAAACATACAGCTCCACCGCTCCGCTACTCGAAGGGGTATCCAATGACAGCTGTCACTCATTGCTATCCACGTGGAAAATCATTCAGGAAAAAAGATAACAGCGCACTTTAGTTCGAACTTACTGTGTTGGCGACAAGAATGGTAAGTAAATCGGTTAATTTTAACAGGTTTGCTCCTTAGTGAATCAAATTTACTAGAACTCTGACAGTAGGCTGACTGTTGCATGTGTTTGCCTCTTTCCTCAGTCAAGTGTTTCTTCAAAACTAGCCACTAGAGTGGCAGAGGCCGGATTTGAGGTCGCATTCGACCCACCAGCAGACGGCAAATGTTTTTATCACGCCGCTTCGTTTCAAATTGGATTTAGTGCGTCAACATTGACCTCTGTCATCTTTGAGTACCTGGATAATCATCAGTTTGATGTAAGTAGTTAATTTCTTCTGGCCATTTTTGTTCAATTTCATTCTGAAGATGCAAGAAAGGTTGCCTAGGTTTTTATAAGTCTGAAGCGATTGCTTTGATGCCGTGTTTGTCAATGAATTTATTTTTGTACATGTTCGGTGTTTTCGAGGGTAATACGTCGAGGGTCGAGGGTAACAAGTCAAGGGTTGAAAAATCTCAAAATTGAAAAAAAAAAAAAAAATCGTTGCATTAAGACCCAGCTGATAGCCTGCTGAATCATAGAAGCACGTGCCATCGCAAGGCGGGTTGAAGTCTATGTCTATTTGAAATCCTTTGTCCTCCACATACTTCAACAACTTAACACTACCACTTGTCTCCATTTAATACTCAGTGTCTGTAAAATTTTTTAAAAATACTCAACATTCTTACAATTTCTAAACACTTTTTCGAAAAAAGGAGGAACCTTATTCATGAAACTCAGGATTTTTACATCTAGCTGAATAGAAAGCAATGGAATGTTGATTTTGTCCGGAAAACAAGTGTCATCGCATTCTGTCTCTTCGACTACGAAAGATAAGATTGTTATTCTTTTGTCTGACAGCTCCAGAGAAAACAGAACATAATTGCTGTAATAACATTACATATCGTTTTTAACTATACCTGAAGGAAACTTTCCAGCTTTGGAAATTAAAATCTGGACGTGACAAGTTAATACCTTTATATTTTTAGTAAAATGTATCCGGTTCCTGAATGTTTTTAATTCAATATTTATTTGACACTGGATTTCCAGTATGCTAAAATATCGGCGGGCTCACAAAAAAAAGTCTATCCTTTTCTTAATACACCCTCTTCCCAGTGCGCCGGAAAAATCACTTTCAAACGCAGCATTCAGGCAATTGTTATACCTTATTGTAGACAATTATAAACGTGATTTAAATTTAATAACGCGAGTTAGAGGGAAAATGTTTTTTTTTTTTTTTTTTTTTAAAGAAAGGGAATTTAATAACGCGAGGAACGGGCCTGACTTTTAGGGTTTAAGATAACTTGGCTGTTGTACCGCTCTTTTGAAAGCAAGAATAATATAAACTGGAAATATTGCAGGGACATACCATATTTATTAGAATAAGCGCCGCGGTGCTTCTCAAGTACGGCGCCCGAGGGCAGCGCTTATTTGGGGGCGTCGCTTATTCGAGTAAATACGGTATCTCTAAAGTTTTACATTGTGAAATAATAATAAAAAAAAATAGTACAGAAAATGGAGGCCTGCTACTTCTTTCATTACACAGGATAACGGAGATGATCGACTGGCCTTTCTGTGTCAAACAGATATGGGTGGAAGGGAAGTGCCAGGAACATGGTCAGAGGCTTTAGAAATACTTCGAAACAACTATGCGAATTCGCTTGTCATCCAAGCCTTGGCAGATGCCTTGCATTACAAGCTTGTTATTATAACAGTACATGGGGTAAACTACTTGAATTTTCTACTTTACCTAAGTAATGTATGCCTAAATAATAAAGTCGAAGCTGTGGTAAACGGCAACCTTGAAATTGGCAGAAGTGGTCGTATCTATAGCCAGTAGTTTTCAAGCCTAAACCTCCGTTCCGCACTGAATTCGCCAATAAATACAGGATGCCCGATTTAATACCAGATTCTACGTAGGTTACGCCGAAGATCTTCGGCGTGGATTTCAAACTTGCGCCGCGTACTGGCGTACAGCGGCACCTTTGAGCTGGCAAAGTTTGCCAGCTCAAAGGAACAACTGGCCCCAGATGACTTATTTTAGGTAAGAATTATAGAGGACTTTGGCGTAGACAAAATTTGGCGTATCTTCGGGGTGGCGTGCACACGGGAATGCACCCTGGCCGCATACGGTTCAGAGCAAATGGTTAATTGGTACGCAAATTGTTATTAATAGCACTGTAGTACGAACTAAAACAAACGCTTATCCGAAAGGTGTGTTACTATTTCTAGAGTAACATTATAATTTTTTTAGTTAATTTTGAAGTCATTCCAATTTCCTCTCTTCGGATCTCTATTGGCGGTTTTAAAATATGATGACGCTTCGCCGTCAGGTATATTTCAGTATTAATTTTAAATCTTACGCCCCGCAGGATGAGAACTTCGTAAAACCATCGAGCCAAAAGAAGGCACCGCAGGAAATACTCTTTTCTTTGGACACACTGGGAACCACTATATTGCCCTTCGACCCAAGGAAAAGGTAATAAGTCCTTCACATGTAATAATGTAATGCATTTTCTAACAAGTCAGGGCTCACATACGTGAATTATTGTTATCTTTATGCAGGGAGTGTGTCATTATGCTGAAGTGTTAAAAAGAAACTTGGTCGATAAGCAGCCACATGTCCAGGAAGCTTCACAAAAGGAGCCAGTCAAATCAAAATCGAGCTATCCGTTGCAGCATACCAAAACGAACGTAAAAACAAGGTATCATATAATCTTAACATGTCAATTAACATACGCTCCCTCAAGAAAAAAAATAATGGCAACGTTGAAAAAAAACCACCATATTGACCATTTGACCATTGAGTGCGGACAAGTGAAGATAACACGCGCGGGACTGGGTAACAGGTCACTCTTTCTTCTCGCATCCCCGCACGTTTTATATTTGCTGGCCCCGACTTTTTCGCTCGCCCCACTGACAGGCTAAAGAGTATTCGATCGTTGTTAGGAAATGCCAACGATTTACAATATGAATTTGGTTTCGTAGTTGATGAATGTTCTGAGCTTGTGCATTCTATAAAATCGCTATGTTTTCGACAAAAATAGTTTTTGCATCGCTACTCCCTTATGAAATCTAATTTACCGCTCTATAGCCACCCTGAGTGATGTAATTTTATTTGTTGAATAGGATGAGCTGATTGTGGTGAGCGATGGTGATGAATCTTGTTCTGAGACCTCGAGTTGTAACGATGATACTTCTTCTGAACGATTCTGTGCAACGGTTAGTACCTACCTATGTATTCAAAAGGGGCTACGTCAAGATGTTTAGTTTATTCTGATATACGTTTTTATATAATTTTCATGTAGTTAATGCTAGATGTTAATGTTTTGAATGCCTTTTTTTCTTAGAAAAATCGACGTAAGATAAAAGGCCCATCCAATTTCGAGTCATGGGAAGAAGAGAGTTATTCTCCCGGCATACCTGTCCTGCCCTTAGGTTGCTTTCCTTACAGATTTGAAAAGGTAAGTTGCCGCTTCGCAATATTTTTCTCTGCACTCGGCCCATAATGTTTCGTATCATTGCTGGAATTAACAGTAAGTTTAAATAAAATACTTAATAAAATATCGCAATTTGATAGGATATTGCACACACCAAAATCTCTTGATTTACACGACGCTCTCTTTCTCGGCAGAATGATGGCTGCTCCAGTAAAAAGGAAAATACTACAACTAGCGTATCGACCATAGACTTAACAAAGGATTCTCCAGTAAAAAGGTAAAATCCTTTTTCCATCAACTAAGGCATAACGGCATACAATTCAGATATAATGAGACACTCCTGAAGGTATATGGAAACCTTATTTGCGGATAACATTATTGTTTTTCTTTTTAATTTTAGTGAAGGCAAAGTTAAAGCGGATATAGACAGTGACAGTGACGAATTGCTTTCTAAATCAGTCTTTTCACTTACAGAGTGAGTTAGATTTGTTAATCACATCTCTTAAAGTATATATATATAAATATAAAATATATATAAATTAAAATAAGTTGATCTGCAGAACTGCTTTCAGAGTGCTCAATAGTAAAACTAGAGCTGTTTATAATAGAAGACGGACTGATCAACTGCCAAGTCAAATCTACAGTTGATCAGTCCGTCTTCTATTATGTATATAGTCCCCTTTATAGTTTTTGGCTCTTGGTTTGAGAAATTAATTGAATTCAGTACCTAATAAATCATAATCATATTTTTTTTTTCTTTTTTTTTGCCTTCTGACAGGAAACTACCTGGAACTCGTATCTCCACTATTAACCTTGACGAAAGTTCGTCTGATCTTTCAGATTCGACTTTTTGTGCGAAAACGGTTAAGTTACATGCGTTTTTAAAATGCTAATCACGTAATTTTCCACCGAGGGCAATATATATAACCTACGATGAGGTGGTCTTGAAGCCAAAGTCGGCTGAGGGCGTGTGATTCCCGCGCTCGGCTGACGTTTGCTTCGAAAAAAAGAGCGCCTGAACGCATGTTATAACTGAACATACATATAGGAACCTGCAGTATTTCTAATATGAGGTGTTGGTCAGTAGTCGAAACATCTTCGAATCATTTTCGGAAATCATCGACAACTTGGGAAATCAGTCAGTTTTAGGTGCATACACTGCCAAAACATGTAGCCAAAGCACAATTAATCGCAGAGAAACGCAGACGCGTTCTCTTCCCGCAGTATTCGCGAGTTGGTTTTTCAAAGTAGTTGGAACATGGGAACTCCATAGACATTAATACCCGCTAAAATGATTTTTTATTTACCATGTCTGCGTAATTGGACTGCACAAACCTTTCATTAGTGTTGAAAACGATTTCACCATCTTAGGAAAATGTTGCAGTTATCAGATAACTTTAAAATAAACATATCTATTTTTGTGCCTTAGACTTATTACGAGGGAACGAACATCGAAAGAGAGTAGCTCAGAGGATGATGATTCCGTCAACGATAACGTCCCTAAGCGTTTGAACGAAACTTCACTGCCACCTCACTCTGAGCACAAAAAAAGGTAACCTTTCCAACCTTAATATCAGATATAAAGGCAATAATAACAAGTGTTATAGTCTTGTTCAGAATTTATTTTTAACATTTTTTTAAGTACTTTGCATGATCGAAAAATACAAATACTGAATATCGACAAAAATCGTCTTCATCATACTAATGTTAAAATCACGTATCTAATGAAAAGTACCTAGCTAAAGTTTAGTTTGTAGTATCGCTGTATTTTTAATTTCTTGTCGTTTGATCACTACAGAAAGAGACTCAAGCTGGATCCATCTTTATGGTTTGGAGTTGATGTTGAAGTGGTTAACGAGTTACCCTATGATATAGATGGTTCGAAGGTTTTCCAAGTTCGGTTTCACAAAGATGGGCGTAACATACACGATGGTCGTCCCTGGAAACCGTGGGTCACCTCAAGTCGAAAGGGGTTCCGTGGAAAGAGAAATGTTCAATCTTGTAGGGGTTCTTACCTTTGCACGAACAAGAACTGTCCCTACAAAAACAATTTGGAAGAGCAAACAGTGTCCAGTTCGTTAGATCTGGAGGAAACGAACTTTGCAGATCTTGCAACTTCAAAGGTGAATACATTTCTTGCTCAGCTAGGAAGGTCAGTGAATATCCAGAAGGTTCTAACATTGCAACCATTTACCATATTGGGAATCACACTTGCACAGCTATTCCTAAGCCCAAGCTACACGCAGACAGTGACATTGAACAGTTTTTCAAAACACATTCAATGGTTAAGCCCTCTGCAGTTCCAACTGCCAAGCTAACAAACATGATCAGAGAAGGCAGACCGTGGTCGGAAGTGGAGGATGTTGCCGAAGCAATGCTAGACAAGAAAAAGGTGCAGAACATAAAGTCTAAAGTAGCAAATAGCATGCATCCCCATGGGCACAACTTTGATGCTGTTGCAGAAATAAAGAAGAAAACAGACGAGAAAGATCAGTACTTAGTCTGGAAAATTAATAATCGTCACTTCAATAATGGCCAACAAAGCCTTGTCTTTAAAACGAGCAGAGAAAAAGCTGAAATATGTGTTCAAATGGACAAAGATCAAAGTGAGCATCCTCTATCCAAAGAGTTCTGTTTCCTTGATGCCGTGCACAGTCGATGCCAAGGCTTCAAAACACTGACCCTTTGGGTGTGGCATCCAACTTTAAATGAGCTTGTTAACTTAGCTACAATGGAGTGTGAGGCCGAGTCCAGTCTCGTAATACAGACGTTTTGGAACAATCTTAATGAGGTAACTTTGATCTTGTTTTTGTTAGCTAGGCAGTGTCCCAGTGTTCCATTAATTTCTACTTGTGATTTGTTGTTCTGTTACAAATCAGTGGCTGACGCAGACGTCCTCGGGGGCGTGGGGGGGGGCTCCCCAGATCCGCCACTGGAAATCTATGTAATTTTATGGAGTTTTAAAGGCTTGATGGAAGAATGCTTTCAACTGCTCTGGTAAAATTCCGTGCTCGACTACCTGTACAGTATTATGGTCTTAATCCCCATTTTGTTTTACTCTTAGTGATTCTGAAGAACTTTGCGGCAATTTTAATCGCCTGCAAAGTTTTCAGGTTCAAATTGCCTGTGTTCTGCATACAACATGCATGCACTCTGCTTTCATCCCATTAAAATCGCAAGCAAATCGGTGGTTTACACAGGTGATTGGAGGCCTTACGTATACAAATCGCCTGTGCAGGCAATTAACAGGAAAAAGTAAAAAAAAAAGATTGAGTGGTAAACCGCGCGCATAAAATTGGCGGGAAAAGTTTAAAAACAGTTTCAAAGATGACGCTCGTTGCGCTCACGAAATGGTCCACAAAAGGATCGGAGTACCCTGGATTCTTCTACGCCGAGCTACGCCGGACGACAAGAGTCCACTGCTCGCAGGGTACAAAAGGAAATTCAATAGCAATGTTACGTTAAGTTTGCCTATTTTACGCATTTTGCATTTATCTGGACGCATTATTAATAATTTTATTATGTTTTACATCGTTCAGACATATAAAAGAAACACATCATTTAATTTGACAACTTATTCAAAGATATTGAATACGTCATTTTTGGGTTAAAGGCCCTGTATCACCCAAAATGCATTGCGCGCCCAATGCCTCTGCGATTGACTTTAACGCAGGCGAAAATTCCCGAAAGAGCCAATCACGAGCGAGCTCGTCATTTGAAAAACAAAATCAAAGGACCGCAAAGCCGAATGGGTGATACTGGGCCTTTGAATCCACAAGTATAATCAGCGATGGATGTGCACTGCAATATTATTAATTGTAATTCATTTGACGTTGTTTTTTTTTTTTTGAGGTTCTACGAGATTTTACAGGGGACGATGAATATATCTTTAATCCAGCGGGATGGATGTTCGATGAAGCAGGAGGAAACTGGGATGCCATCGAAAAAAGTATTTGGCAGTAAATCCTTAGAACAGTGTGTGTCTTGTGAATTTCACTTTTTCAGTGTTGCAACAGGCAGATACATACGAACTGGAGTGATAAGTCAAAGCATACGTTCAAGACTCTCGCTAGGAACATTTTTGAAGCACCAACGCCTTATCGTTACGATCAAGCCAGGAAAGAACTCGTAGCATTTTCAGATGAAAAGCCTGCAAAGCGAGGTCATATCATTAGCTGGTTCAAATGGTGGCATAAAAGAAGGACCCATATATTTAAGGCGTTCAAATGTGGTGCACCACTTACCCCAAACGTCAATTTGGCTGAAGTTGGTCACTCGCAGTGGGCCAAAAAAGGATCTTACAGGCTAACCCTTGCCATGGCTGCAGAGGAGGATGTGGCAGAAGCAATCATGCTCTCAAAGAAACTTCAATCATACGGTTATGGAACTTATAAAGGAGGAAAACATCGGAGCCAAAGTGACAGACTCAAAGCCAACTATTTCCAGCAAATGACAAGAGCGAAAGCCTTTGGAGAAGAAATTTCAGCAGGTGTTGTCGACAATTCCTTATATGTACAAGCAGAGTCTTCTAGAGCTTCATCTGTAGATGCTAACTGCTCCCATAGAGCGACACGAAAACGAAAACGTCAAGTCAGTGTTTTTAGCGATGGAAGTAACTTAGCATCTTCGTCTTCTGAGGACGATTCGCATCATTCAGCCCCCAAAGCTGGGACACGTGAGGATAGACGTGACGGCCGTTTCCGAAAAAGTGCCAGTAAGGCGTTCCAGCGCTCCTTGGAGCTCGCCAAGAAGGAAACATTCTTGCTTGTTGACTCTAACGAGCTTGGAAGAAACGAGAGGCAATTCGTAATCAGATCGGGACTAAACACATATGAGGTCAAGATTTCTGAGCATCCAACATGTAATTGTCCGTATGCGAATAGTGCTAATATTTGTAAACATGTTCTTTTCGTGCTTTTGAACTTCTTTAAAGTTCAAGATGAAGACTATCGTCTCTATCAGAAAGCATTGACAAAAAATGAATTGGACGACTTATTTAGTAAGCTGGATTTGAAATCTCCCGTAGTGACTAAACCAACAAATGTAGCCATTTTTAACGCACACCACGCTGCAAAAAGGAAGCAAGTTTGGCAAGTACAGCGGTTTAAATCACAACCTGGCCCAAAACCAAGGTGTGCTAAACCAGGCTGCGAGACTCATTTCTCAGATGGAGACATTTGCATTACAGTCGAGGGGCTGTATGTCACACCAAATGCAACCGCGGATGGAAATCGCTTCGCGGTACTACGTAATTTTCGATTTTGCCCCCAAAAAGATTGCATAAGCACGCAACCAAGACAAAGCAATTTGACTGTTCCTCCGATGGCTGTCGCACTAGACGAGAATATCAACATATCTCCCGATGAATATCAGAAATTGATTGACGAGGAGATAATGTAAAGAAATGTAAGGACCTAAGAGCGACAGGACATAGAAATCCCGTTTGGTGTTGTTGTTTTCATTTGAGTTTCCTTTGTTGTTGGAATATACTCTTTTAGTTCGAATGATATTTCAAAACATTAACTTAAAGGAAAAAAATTAAAAAAATAAACGTTCGTTTTTCGCCCATCACGCCGTCGGAAAAGGAGTGCGTGACAAGCCCAAAAAACATTTGAAGGCAGGCGCCTGTCTCTTTCAGGTCGTGGGGAAAGGTTCCGCTCTTCAGTATGCATTTATGAAAAGAGTATGCACGAAGTGCGACGGCTGATACCGAAAATGCGCGAAATACTCACGAAGAGGCCCCGAATGTTTCTGCATCAATAATGGCATGTGCAAAACGCTGTCTGGTAAAATACACTGTTTTGCAACGCATTGTTGTTTTTGCATGAAGTGTTGACAAAAGTCCGTGGATTAAAATTAGCAAAATTACCATATACTTTTGCATTCGTGTTTCCTCGGAAAGCCTTCGGAGCGTAAAAACAAGCACTTTTTTTGTGTTCAAGAATTCAGACTGAACATTATGAAAGTGATCTACCGTATTTTGATTTTTCTGTAAATAATTTTAAAAAAACTGTTGACCATGTCATTGTGAAAACATAAGCTTACCGCAATATTGCGTACGTTAGCATTTCTTATTCACGGGCTGGCTCTTATGCCAGTATTTATTTACAAGAATTTAACCGAGATATCGCAAGTTTTTTTTGTCTCCAGTGAGTTCAGGTTAATTTACATACGCAGCGACTAAAGCGATACTTTAACCTTTGATTCGAAACGTACGTTGTTACGCATATATATCTGCCTCTCAAACGGGGAGGTTGAATGGAATTGTCATTAATTCTATTATTCTTTAAGTTAATGACAGAAAAGAAATACGAAGAGAAAAAAAAACACAGCGTGCATAGCCTGTGTACAGACGCCCCTCCCTCCCCTCAGATTTTTTTCTGAGGGAGGGGAGGGGCGTCTGTACACAGGCTACAGCGTGCACGGATTGCTTTAGTTTTGTCGGACCGTAATAACTTTGCATACCGACAAAAACAATATCAAGCGACACCTTTAATACAAATGCAGTCACTTCATTCGCAATGCTATAAATAACTAAAAGACCCTAAAATGTCTCGCTACACAGGCTTAAAAAATTCATCCTTTATCTGCTGGAAAGAAATACATAAATTCAGGACTTACGGGTTTTGTTAAATTTGAGACCGGAAGTTCGCGAACCCCGCGCCGATTTCTGTTTCAATTCGTGAATTGTAAGTAAACAACAGTTTAATTCAGTTCACTTCTACTTCATTTTTTTAGATCAAAGTTCCCAATATAGCCAGGTGTATACTGGTAGTAAACAACAGCATAGAAAACTTTAGTTCATTTCAATATCATCGAATGTGACCGGTCATCTTGACCGTCAAGGCCAACAAAATGAGGACAATTCAACGCTTCACGTTTGGGAATGTAAAATTATTAAACACTTTTTCATTCGTGAAAAAACGAACAGTCGGTCAATTTTGTGTAAAAACGATCTGGATCTTCCATTAACCACTTTTAAGTTAACAAAAATGAAAGCAACGGTAACTCAAACTTAACTCAGACTTAACTCAAACTCAACTCAAACTCAACTCAAACTCAACTCAAACTCAACTCAACTCGTAACTCGGTCATTAGTATCTCTCCAAGGTTAATAGCGGAGATACGAGTTCCAGGTAGTTTCCTGTCAGAAGGCAAAGAAAAGAAGAAAAAAAAATATGATTATGATTTATTAGGTACTGAATTCAATTAATTTCTCAAACCAAGAGCCAAAAACTATAAAGGGGACTATATACATAATAGAAGACGGACTGATCAACTGTAGATTTGACTTGGCAGTTGATCAGTCCGTCTTCTATTATAAACAGCTCTAGTTTTACTATTGAGCACTCTGAAAGCAGTTCTGCAGATCAACTTATTTTAATTTATATATATTTTATATTTATATATATATACTTTAAGAGATGTGATTAACAAATCTAACTCACTCTGTAAGTGAAAAGACTGATTTAGAAAGCAATTCGTCACTGTCACTGTCTATATCCGCTTTAACTTTGCCTTCACTAAAATTAAAAAGAAAAACAATAATGTTATCCGCAAATAAGGTTTCCATATACCTTCAGGAGTGTCTCATTATATCTGAATTGTATGCCGTTATGCCTTAGTTGATGGAAAAAGGATTTTACCTTTTTACTGGAGAATCCTTTGTTAAGTCTATGGTCGATACGCTAGTTGTAGTATTTTCCTTTTTACTGGAGCAGCCATCATTCTGCCGAGAAAGAGAGCGTCGTGTAAATCAAGAGATTTTGGTGTGTGCAATATCCTATCAAATTGCGATATTTTATTAAGTATTTTATTTAAACTTACTGTTAATTCCAGCAATGATACGAAACATTATGGGCCGAGTGCAGAGAAAAATATTGCGAAGCGGCAACTTACCTTTTCAAATCTGTAAGGAAAGCAACCTAAGGGCAGGACAGGTATGCCGGGAGAATAACTCTCTTCTTCCCATGACTCGAAATTGGATGGGCCTTTTATCTTACGTCGATTTTTCTAAGAAAAAAAGGCATTCAAAACATTAACATCTAGCATTAACTACATGAAAATTATATAAAAACGTATATCAGAATAAACTAAACATCTTGACGTAGCCCCTTTTGAATACATAGGTAGGTACTAACCGTTGCACAGAATCGTTCAGAAGAAGTATCATCGTTACAACTCGAGGTCTCAGAACAAGATTCATCACCATCGCTCACCACAATCAGCTCATCCTATTCAACAAATAAAATTACATCACTCAGGGTGGCTATAGAGCGGTAAATTAGATTTCATAAGGGAGTAGCGATGCAAAAACTATTTTTGTCGAAAACATAGCGATTTTATAGAATGCACAAGCTCAGAACATTCATCAACTACGAAACCAAATTCATATTGTAAATCGTTGGCATTTCCTAACAACGATCGAATACTCTTTAGCCTGTCAGTGGGGCGAGCGAAAAAAGTCGGGGCCAGCAAATATAAAACGTGCGGGGATGCGAGAAGAAAGAGTGACCTGTTACCCAGTCCCGCGCGTGTTATCTTCACTTGTCCGCACTCAATGGTCAAATGGTCAATATGGTATTTTTTTCAACGTTGCCATTATTTTTTTCTTGAGGGAGCGTATGTTAATTGACATGTTAAGATTATATGATACCTTGTTTTTACGTTCGTTTTTGGTATGCTGCAACGGATAGCTCGATTTTGATTTGACTGGCTCCTTTTGTGAAGCTTCCTGGACATGTGGCTGCTTATCGACCAAGTTTCTTTTTAACACTTCAGCATAATGACACACTCCTGCATAAAGATAACAATAATTCACGTATGTGAGCCCTGACTTGTTAGAAAATGCATTACATTATTACATGTGAAGGACTTATTACCTTTTCCTTGGGTCGAAGGGCAATATAGTGGTTCCCAGTGTGTCCAAAGAAAAGAGTATTTCCTGCGGTGCCTTCTTTTGG